AGGGGAGGGGAGGGGAGGAGAGAAAAGAGCAAAGCAAAGCAAAACAAAGCCAAGCCATCTTTTCTCTTATGGGGATTAAAGAATGCAGAGAAGTATCCAACACAGTGGACCTTTCATAAGTGTCAGTTATTATTATTATAGATTGTCAGTGTCTTTATTTCTTTTTTAAAAATCTGAAAGAAATATGACTATATTTCAGATCCATTTCAGATATTAGCTTGTATCAAAGATGCAGACTAGTTAGAACTTCCTTTACATACCCACATTTTGTACATGCCTCCATTACATATTAACTTGCATTGGAACTATGTTTTAGATGTCTCATGCACTTGAGTTTACTTCTTGAAAAGACTCTCCCCTATTTTCATATATATGGCATCTAGCATATTGCTGACCAGTAAATGTTTGTCAAATGAATAGTAAGAAGTACAACTAAACTAATGGCTAAGAGTAAAAGGTGAGAACTGAAAGCATAAAAACTTTACTACACAAATTCTTAACACCTGTTTTGGCTACTCTGACTATCTCTGTCACATGCTGGGTAAGATTTTAGTGTGTGAGCACAAAGCACTTCACTGTTATGTTTTAGACTTAATATACACGGATGTGTCAATTTATATATAGATAGATAGATGCTGATGTTTTATTTTCCTTCAAGTGTAACTTCATATTAAAAACAAACCCAGAAGTCAACAAATATTATTGCTGTTCCAGGACCTCATATTCAAGTAAGGCAGCTGTGTATGTAATTAGCATGGAAGAATAATATAACATTAGGCAAATTTGGTTTAATTATTGTTCTATGAACATTCTGTACTATCCCGACTGCTACAAAGAAGTTTTTAACATTTTGCTAACGTTCAGAAATCACAGTAAAACTCTCAAAATATGAAAACTTATACAAGTATACAACAAAGTCACTTAAATACTTTATTCTCAAATTATCTGAAACTGGTCTTACCAATGGAAAGAGGGTATAAATTTTACTGAATATCTGTAATACGCTTAAGCACTATATTAGTCCCTTTGTTCTTCACAGTTCTATGAGGTAGGTAAAAACACAGGTTCAGGACTAGTAATAAGCTGAGATCTAACTTGAAAGCCTATGCTCTACAATAATCTAAAAGAACACTAATGTGTCAGAACATACATCTGTGTTTTATGTTTTAAAGTAAATTGTAATGCAAGACTATAACACCACTGTTACTTTGACTTATGGTGTTCACAAAGATTTAACAAAAGCATAGCAATAAAATTACCTGCACTATTGTTATCATCATCTTGTTCAATGAAGACATGATCCAAAATAAAGCTGAGCAACTCAGACTGCAATGAAGAATCAGGAGTGTAAACTAATGGCTCTAACATGTCTCGTCCTCCTGACATAATCTGATGGCTGAAGATCATCAAAATATCACATAGAATAGTGAAGGCCTATTAAAATAAAGGAAGAGGATGTTACAAGGTTTCTTACCAAGCGTATATCTTCTATATTTAACACAGAATTAAAACCCAACTTTTCTATATTTGAAAATGAAGAAATTCATCCTTTAGTGCTCTAAGATTTTAAAGTGATGAAATATAATTTCTATAAAAAGATTACTATATTTACATAATGCTTTATTATACAAGGTATTTCACAAACATTATTTTCACCAATTTTATGTGGCTTATACAATATGTTAACACTGCCAGAATATGCAGTCGGGAGGTTTTCAGACTCCAATTTCCTACTCTGCACTATACCAAAATGTCTCATGGTATTCATTCTCAAAAATAATACACTGGGCCAGGGATTTAGCTCAGTGGCGCCAAGCCTGCCTTGCAAGTGCAAGGTCCTGAGTTCAATCCCCAGTACTGGGGGAAAACAATAATATATAAACTTGGTACCATTCATTGTCCTATTGAAGAAAATAATGTGTAGAAGATGAGTAGTAGAATAATGATTTAAAAATATATGGTATTTTTTAAAGCACTGCCTTCCATTTGTATAGTGATTAAGTAGAAACTATATACCTAGGTATTACATAGAAGGCAATCCAGAAAGTATCATAATAAACATAGAGCTAAAATTACATAGCAAAAAATTTACTAAAAACTGCTAAATGGAGTCAAAGAGTGGTTTAGTCAAAAGATAGCTGCAAAAACATAATTATCTATTGGGAAAAAGTAATAAAAATCTTTTGGGTCACAAAGTTAATCAGAAAATACATTTAACATAAGACTTACTGGAAAGACAGGTTATAACATATAACACAAGGCAGATTTTAATAATTTTTCCTTATCAGAACCATATTTACTTTTCCTCTTTATTATATGCTTTTGCTTCTTCAGTCTCTTCATTTTACTAATATAAAAGTAGTTTATACCTATAAGGATATTTCAGTTTATAAAAATTTACAACATAAAATAAAAGCAAAGTGTAATGATATTTACTAATTAGGTTTAGAGGCAGGTCAAATGGGATGCCCAGGTCATATTCCTGCTAGCTATTAAGAAAACTGATAAGCAAACTAACAATACCATAATTAATCTAGAAGACCTAACAAAGAGATTTATATTGGGGGTTATAAATGATAACTCACAAGAACTATATGTTAACATTATAAAAATTAGAAACTTGAGGATTTTGGTCACAGACATGTGCATGTGAGATGTATTTGGTTGGACCTGTGGTTGAAATAATATTTTAATAGAATAAATCTAACTTCACTTTACTACTATCAGAAATTTTGTGGGCCAGGGATTTAGTTCAGTGGTTCTGCTGCCTGCCTCTCAAGCATAAGGTCCCGAGTTCGATCCCCAGTACCAAAAAAAAAAAAAAGAAAGAAAGAAAAATTCAATAACTGCATTTTGACCACTGAATATCTTCTACTTTATGTATGCCCAAGTATATATTTACAAGAGGTAGAAGAGGAAGTTGGAAATAAGAAAAAATAGGCTAACAGTTGGCATTGATTACAAATTTTTAACTATAAAATATGTAAATTTTGAAATTATTAGATTTGAGCCAGACATGGTGCTGTACACCTGTAATCTCAGGTACTCAGGAGGCTAAGGAAGGAAGATCACAAATCTGAGGCTGTCCGGAATAAAAAATTTTAAAAGGGGGCTGGGGATGTAGCTCATTCAGCAGTGAGGCACTGGGTTCAATCCCCAGTACCAAAATATAAATAAATTGAATTAAAAACACTAAGGATGTAGCTCATTGACAGAATGCTTGCCTAGCATGGGTGATATTCTGGGTTTAATTCTCAGTACTAAAAAGAAAAAGAAAAATGTTTTGATATTTTAATAAAAAAGACAAATAACAAAAGGATAATTATATTTAAAGAACTTTCTTGATAAATTTAAGAAGCAACGGGCTGGGGATTTAGCTCAGTGGTTTCGCCGCCTGGTGCACAAGCGCAAGGACTCGAGTTCGATCCCCAGTACCAAAAAGAAAAAAAGAAGCAACTACACTCTTAAAGTAGTACCTAACGTATCAGTTTCCAAATATAGCCCTTGGGGTAAGTGATTATTCAGATTCTACACTAAAAGACAAAGTTTAATTTATATATAAGTCAAAAAAACTTGAAATCAAAAGCATTTTGACTACACATTAGTATTTCCTATGAAATGTTTATCAAAATATCTACCTAACAGAAGCATTTATAAAGCATATTCCAAATGAGCTCAAAACTCTCAATAAAGAATTAGAACTGAACATGACTTTAGTTCCAGATCAAACCAGGTCACAGTCTATTTTTAGAGTTGAGAAAGTTGGCAATAATGAAGGAATATAAGATGTGAAGGTAGCACTTGGATGGAAGATAAGTAATTAATTTTTATTTCACATAAAATCAGAAGAGGCATAAATGTCAACATCTGATATACTCAGAGATGACAAAACCTCATGGACATTTTTCTCCTTGAAGCAAACTTGTTATACTTGTTCAAGAGTGACTTCTATAATTTCATAGACCTATAATTCATATAAGTGAATTTGTTTGCCATTTATGTCAAAAAGAAAATAACATAAGTACAATATGTAATCCATACTGCAATTATAAACTCTTATGAATTGATAAATCAATTTTATTATCTGCAAGCTCAATATATTAATCTGCTTTTTTAAAAACATGGTATATATAGACAGACACATTTCTACTTTGCTGAACCTTAGTGTTAAATTTTCTTATTAGTTTAGATTTACAAAGGCTGCTTACAAAAGATCTATAGCAATTACTAACCTGTTCTTTAACAGTAGTATTCACATTGGTCAGGTAATGCTGACATATCTGACAAAATACCCTCATCTGTTTCTTTAAACGCAGTAAATCCTCCTTGAAAAAATTTAACATAAACAGTTTAAGATGCTGCATAAACAACTCATCCACAATATTTCCTTAAAATGTTTTACATTACAAAAAACTTTATTAACTATACTTGAGCATTTGATTTAAATTTCTTTATAATTAGGAAAAAACGGGACTATTTTTCTTACAAATCTCATCAAACTGGAGCCTTCAAGTTTTAAGTATATAAATGGATAATATCCTAAGTAGTCATGGTCATTTACAATGAGAAAACGAAATTATATGTGACTGTATTTTTATTAGTCCATATTAGTTATAAAATATAGTGGGCTTCATTTGGCATAGGAGTACATGGATATAACATGTATGGTTATATTTAATAAAGTCACCAGCTCAGAATACTTTAAGAGAAAAACTGCTCCAGATTCACTTTATTATATGAAGAGTGAACACATGAATCAAACAAAGTAATTTTAAAAAGAAATAGCACCTATAATCCCAACACTTTGGGAAGCTGAGGCAGTAGTTCTGCAAGTTTGAGCTCAGTCTGACAATTCAGCAAGACCTTGTCTCAAAATAAAAAATAAAAAGGGATGGGGATGTATATCTCAGTGTGAAGACCCTGGGTGCCATCCCCATATGGAGGTGAATGTGGATGAGGGTGGATATGGTATCTTCCATGTGTTATTTTGACAGATACCAATTATACTGATTAAAAAATAAGGGAAGGGGTTGCAAAATCAGGTATTTTTTGTTGTTGTTTTTTTTTGTTTTGTTTTATTTTTGTACCGGGGATCGAACTAGGGTCCTTAGCTTGCGAGGCAGGCGGTGGAACCACTGAGCTAAATCCCTGGCCAAAATCAGTTTTGTAGTATTACTATAAACTTTGAAATGACTCAAACATACACTAAAAAGTTCAATCTTATATTTCTAAATATCTATCAATTTATTTGAAATACAAAATTATTCACAAAGACTGTCCACATTGTTACAACCTTTGGGCCATCTTCTGATACTGAATGCCAAATGACAGAATATCAGTACCTATTGAGTATATGTAATAGAAGTTAAATAAAAATATTTAACTGGAAGATCACATGTGATAAAAGCTCAACTAAGTTTTAGCGTCAGTTATTTTACTCATCTTTTCCCTCTAAAATATTGCCTTTTTTCATTTTAATTTTCAGTTTTTCAACTTAAGTAATCATACACTAATGTGATTACTATTCCTACTATCACTTTGATAACTAATTAAATAAACTTCTTTCTGAGTGTTTGACAAAAGTACATTATTTTAACAACAACCCTCTATTGATTTCTCAAGAAAAAAAGTCTATTTGCAGATATTAGCAGCATCTTAAAATTAAGCAAAGAGAAATTCTAAGAATTTAACATTATTCTATGGATTTAGGCATTACAAATATATTATCAAGGCTTTCCTTTAGGAAAAAAAATACGAACATCTAAATATGTAACTCACAGAAATCGCTTTTTATAAAAATGAGCCCAAATAATGTTGAAGGCAACATCAACTACTGATGGTACAATGTTTAAGCTTCCAATTTGCAAATAGAAAAAGTAGTCCTACTTAATTCAATAACTTGCGTGCATGAGAGATTATGGGTAAAATTTTAAAAGCTCCATGTCCTAGCAATTTGGTACATTATATTCAATCAGAGAATGATTTCTCATGAATTTGGTTTATCAATAGAGAGATCTGAAAAATGAAGGTGAACCCAAAATAATAGCAGGGCTCAAGACAATTCAGGGAAGCTGACTTATGATCTTTATGCAACAGTTGTATCTATTTGTTTGAAAGGTTCTTGGATATGCTTTATATAAACCAACCTTTTTAGCTCTACTATCCAATTCTGAGAAGAGGTAAAGTCATAAATTATACCACTTACATGGGAACAATTTTAATTTAAAATCATAACTCGAAACAAACCATATTAAAGCCCTTTCATTGAATATACATCAAACTAAGAACTGGATGTTTTTTCAGGGTACATGTTGAACTACAGATTAGAAACAAGTACAACTACAATGAAATAACTAGTCTTATTAAAGATGTAAGTTTGCCATAAACCATAAATGATATTTCATCTTAAAAAAAAAAAAAACACTGGTGAACACCACAAACCTTTGTAGAACTGCTTTCAGTTATCTTAGCAAGCTGCCAAAGGATTACATAATGAGTACACTGAAGTGCATGAATAACAATCTGTAAAACAGAACCAAGAAAATACAGATAAAATTTAAGTCACAGCCTTCATTCTCAAAGTTAAATATATAACTTGTAAATAAATAAAAACCTGCTCGGGCATATCTCCATTTTCAATTCCGGTTTTCAAAAGTTTGTAATTACAAGCAAACAAATCCCACTTGGAAAGATCATGAGCACTGTAAAAAACAAAACAAAAAAGAAGTTATGTTAAAAAACTAAGCCAAATCATAACTCCTTTGTACTTGACTGTTAACAGAGCACTGCTAAGGTAAACATGCCAAACATTTTAACACGCCACTATAACAATAATTTTTTAAAGTATGTTAGATAATTTTTCAGTCACTCTCAATTTAAAACATGACTTTACCAGGTACTTTCTTATGAAAAGCAAAAGAAAGCTAATAAAGAATTTAAAAACATAAAAACCTATAAAATATGCAAGCTGATTTTGCAACAGTTTTAAGAAATCAAAAATATAATCAACTTACTTATGAAATGCAGTGATTCTCTTCAATGTTGACAATACCTGGTAAGCATCATCTTCATCAGGTTCTTCGCCCTATGAATCATGATTGCACATTAAGAACCACCAAAGTTAGGCCGGGGATTTAGCTCAGTGGTTTCGGCGCCTGCTGCGCAAGCACAAGGACCCGAGTTCGATCCCCGGTACCAAAAAAAAAAGAACTACCAAAGTGAAAAATCATAGGCTATCAATATAGTGATATTACCATGAAAAGTAAAGAATAACATAATAAAAGCCACAAATTAGCTTCATCATTCAATACCTAGATCTGGCCAAATTTAAGGCCATGTGGCTAGGGAACTGAGTTAACATAGGTTATCACAAGTACAGTACATTCAAGAAGCAAGAACAGTAAAATTTTTCTCCCCTTTTTGGTTAAATAATGACATAAAACTGTAGATATTTACTATTTCACAATAATAAATGCACTAGAGCATTAAAGAAAACATTAGATAATAAGAGATTATAAAAGACAACACCTAAATTACAAAACCTAGGTACACTAAACATGGTGTTAAAAAGATATATTGGACTAATCAGAAATAAATGGAATAAACCCTCTGAACAATGAGTAGATATGCTAGTTTTCTGGGTTATCAACATTTATTAATATACTCTTCAATACAAGGTAACTTAAGTTTGGGGAAATTTTTATGAACCTTACTACATGAAACATAAAATTCTTTAAACACTATTGAATCTACTATATTGAACTCCAGGTCTCTCAAAAACACACTTGTTTCTAAACTTTAATATTTCTACAAATTAAGCTTAATTAACAAACTATTGCTTGATTTTAAATTAACTTGTCCTAATCACAATCATATTCAGCCACCAAGAGTCATTAAAATTTTTAACTAAGAATGTGATAATTGCAGAACATATTTGCACAATCCTCCCATTAGTAAAACTTAATAAGCCTAGAGTAATGTTAAACATGTACCCATACACCTAAAGAACTTGATAAAATTAGAAAAATGGAAATTACAAAGTCTGTACGATTTTTGTAGCATTAACAAGAAAAATGATGTGGAAAAATCTAAATGCATTAAGTTGGTAATTATGACTATTTCATTCAAATAAATTATAATACAAATATGTATTTCTTGAAAAAACAATTACAATAAAAATATAAATATATTTGAGTGTCAATGCTCTAAGCCTCTTTGGATATATAATAGAAAAAGGTGGAAAACTCCAAAAGCAACAGTGGCTATAATAGCAACTTATTAAGGCTCTATAATATCAAAGACCATAATTGCCTTTCTCTAAGCAACACTGCCAAAACACTAAGAAACTCCCTGCTTTCTGTAGCTAGTTGGTCTCAATCTAGCTCTACTTTCCTATTCCATTAATACTCTATTCCCAAATAGGCTCATATTCAACTAAAAATAGAAAACAGTCTACATCATTTCTTGAAAACAAGGGAGAAATGCTCATTTTGCTTTCACCTTTTCCAAGACACAAATTCATACCCTTTTCCTATTTTGGTGGAAAAGTAAGTCTGATGATTCACAGGATTGAAAGCCTGAACAACTTTTCAACATACTGCTAGACTATCACCAGGACTAATACTGAAGTGACTAATTAGTTTACTGGATGGGAAAGGCCCAACTTACAAAATTACTTGTAATACATACTTCTTGTAGAAAATCCTCAAGAAGCCGGTTAAATTTATCTGCCAATTCATCTATCAGTTGACTTCTTGAAATATCTACTCTGTTGAAGATTGTGAATTCTTCGTTACAGAGTGCATGGTAAGTTTTAGAACATGCTTCCAAAACATCTGTATCTGTGTGCTTCTCTACAATATTTCTTATCTGGCGCAGTAAGGCATCCAAATGCTGCAAAATAAATTTTTTTCATTAAAACTAAGTTACCATACCACCACATTGAAAATTTTCAAATATACTAATTTTACAACATAAGGCATACATTTTAAATTGTTTTCTAAACTAATAAATAAATAAATAAATAAATAAATACACTGATAAATCCATACTTATTTATTCAACATTACTGGGAATAGTATTACCTCATAGGGCTCAGGTAAGAATGTTGATACACATAAAGAACTTACACAAGTTCCTAAAACATATTAAAAGTGTTCAATGATCTATTGACTTCATTTATTTTGTACTTATCATTAAACAGTGTAAGAAAAAAAAACACTCATGACACATTCCCATAAATTTAGAATGAAGGTACAGCTATGGGCACGAGGCAAAGAGAAACCTCATTAGCATCATTCTCTAAAGCCAACTGCTTTAAAATATAGAAGATACAGGCTTCATTAAATATTACAAAAATATATTTTAAAAATATAAGCGAACAATATGATGAAGTAAAGTAACATTTTCTGTTTAAGGTTTTTTATTCACCAAAATTATCTTACCTTTTCTAATCGACCAGTGGTATATATTTCCAAATCAAAGTACTGAGGCAACTGCAACAAGTTAGTCACCTTTTCTGCATCTACAGAGTACTTTGAAATAAAAAGACCTTGTTAAAAACATCACAATAATGCTAAGTAAACACTGTAATATTCGCTGTGGCATTCTGAAAAAATGACATGTCATTCCTTAGTAATACTGGGATATAAGCACAAACATACTTTTGCTAATAACTGAGGAAGGGCCACAGCAAATAGTTCAGTGATTTTTGTCCTGTCATCCAACTGGGTCTTCTTCTCCTTCGCTGTCAGCACCTGAAGTAACACAAAAACTTTTATAAGAATTTACTAAGCCCATTAATACTGTTAAGTGTTCAAGTTTTAGTACATACAACGTAAGTAACAAAACTATATTTTAAATGATGGATACAAAAATTTCTACTATAAAACTTTAACCCTAAAAGTAATACTAAGGAGAATAACTTCTTCCTTATTTAAAAACAAAACACACAACGAAACCACAAAGCCACCTGTAATTAAAAAGAAAAACAACTGAGTAGTTGTAGAGGAAAAATCAGCACCAAATTAGACTAATCAACTCTACCTTTAGGTAGAAGGGAAAATAGGAACAGGAAATGTATTTTGGGAGTTTATATATAATGAAATTGAACAGCATTCCAGCTTGCTATAGACTGTGGGTCATGACACATGAGATGAATTCAAAATAGTAAGTTGCAACTAGTATTTAAAAACAGCAATATAATAATTTTTTAAAAAACAGAAATAGGGACTGGAGGTGTAGAACACTTGGCTAGCATACACAAAAGCTTTAGGTTTGATCCCTGACACAGCAAAAAAATTAATTTACAAGTAAGAAAATGAAAAATATAGAATGTATCACATACTGTTTCACTACTTTTACATGAAATTCTCTTTTAGTTGTAAACAAATACACATATATTCACATATACTAAGTCATAATATAAAAATATATTTTTGTGCTTAAAAATAGATCAAAAGCCTGTGGAACTGTCTATATAAATTATAAATACAAGTGAATTCTGCAATAATTCATTAAAATTTGACCCCATGATATAGCAATTTCCAATTTTAATGATTAGTTTATCTCCCATTTTGTGTCTAATTTTATAAGAAAAAGAAAGCAAAGCTATAAATAAACCAAAACACACAAATGCACCAATGGTGCATTACATTCAATCTTGAAGGCAGGGACTCTCAATCAGTATTTCATGTGGTAACAAAGAACTCATGAAAATAATTACAATTTCTCAAATTGCTAATGCTTTAAAATTTCCATTGGCCGGGAGCAGTGGTGTACCTGTAATCCCAGCACTCTGGAGGCTGAGCCAGGAGGATCTCTGCAAGTTCGAGGCCAGCCTGGGCTACATAGTGAGTTCAAGGCCAGCCTGAGCTACATAGGGAGACCGTCTCGAATGAATGAATGAATGAATTTACACTGAACACACACACATATATATGAGCAAGTCTCTTGAAAAAAAATATCAAAAATTTTTGTTCCAAGGTTAAAATTGGATTTTTTAAACAGATACTTAGAAAAGAAAAACACTATTTAGAATATTGAAAAACATTAGCATACCCTTTTTCCTGTCCCTCTTCCCACAGGAGGATGACATTCAGCAGCTTGTCTAATAGTACAAAGCATTATTTCAATCAGAGCACTCTCTTGTCTGTCTGTTAGTGCTGAAAGAAATTAGAAAGAGTTAACCTATTTCTTCTCCCTACATGCCACTTGTAACAATTATATGTTTCTTCTGCCTATGAACAAAATCTGACCTAATGCACTAAAGAAAATACCATCACTTATCAAAAAAAAGATCAGAACAAGTTAAACCTTCCTAAAACCCTTAGCATTCCAAATCTGACCACCATTTATCTACATATCTAAAGAAAAGATGAACCAGATACAAAAAAATTTGACAGTAATTACATCTGTCACACAATATTCATGTATATATAAATAAAATTCTGCAAAGTAGGTTTTTGCATCAACTATTTTAACATTAACAAAACAAGTAAAATCCATTTTCAAAACTGTCTATACAATAAAAATACCATCATTGAATATTCTTACCTTCTTCCCCACTAAGTGGCTCCTCTAGCAACAAGCTATTCATACATTCCCAGTCTTTCAGCAGCTCAGTAGCACAGTCCCACATGCTATCCACAAGGTATGCTGCATGCTCATGCAACTAAAATTTAAAGAGCAATATGCATTGAAACAAATACCATACTAACAACTCAGAAGAATAAAAGCTTTGTTGATGCCATGTACAAACTCTCTAATTGTAATCTTTGTTTGACATAAAATGGAATAAAGGACAGAGAAAAACTGCCATAGCTTGTGTATATTAATTTGAACTTTTTTAGGTAGCATCATTAAATATTTTTCACAATAACGATTAAAACATTAAAATCAAAGTACTTTATAAAAGGATTATATGCATAGCCAGGTGTTGTGGTGCATGCCCGTTATCCCAACACTCTAGGAGGCTGACACAGGATTTAAATTCGAGCCCAACCTGTGCAACTTGGTGACTTAGCAAGACACCCTGTCTCAAAATAAAAAACAAAAATAGCTGAAGGCTCAGTATAAAAGGACTTAGGATAACCCTGCAGGCAGTCAGTCTCTGTCTCTGTCTCTGTCTCTGTCTCTCTCTCTCTCTCTCTCTCTCTCTCTCTCTCTCTCTCTCTCTCTCTCTCTCTATTATATGTATATTGGACCCAATAATACATTAGTTAACTACTCTCAATTCTTAGATATACTGTTATTTTAAATGAATGATAGTGGTTAATTTAAAAACATCAAACACATTTTGAGAATGAGAATTTAATTTATAAGCAATATAATTCTCTTCATTCTGTGAAACCTAAAGGACTCTAGTGCTTCCCACCATGAATATCAAATCCCATCGAGAACATGTTATACACTGGCCTGCCCAGTGGTACAGGCTTGTAGTCAGTCAGCCCATAGGCTGAAGAAAGAAGACTACAAGTTCAAATCCCATCTAGACAACTTAGTGTGAGAACTTGTCTCAAAAGTAAAAAGGGCTGAGGATGCAAGCTTAAAGGCCCTGGGTTCAATTCCCAATACCACAAAAAAATTAAAAAGATCATTCATGAACAGAGGGAATATTCTCAAATGGAATCTGTATACATATATATTTAAAAGATCACTGAGGGCTAGGGATGTGCCTCAGTGATAATATTTACTTAGACTGTATGAAACCTTGTGTTTGATACCAACATATACAAAAATCATGCCCAAGTATCATGGGGATTCAAAGTTGGTTTCACATTGGAAAAATCATTCAACATAGTTCAACACATTAGCCAGGCATGGTAGTGCATGCCTGTAATAGAAGCACTCTGGGAGGTTAAGGCAAGAGAATCACAAGTTCGAGAGAAATATGGCAACTTAGTGAGACCTTGTCTCAAAATAAAAACTAGAATAAAAAAAAAAGGCTAGGGAAGTCACTCACTGGGAAGGCCCTGGATTCAATTCTCAGTACCACAAAGAAAGAAAAATATATATAATTCAATACAATAACATAATGAAAGAGAAAATAATCATCTCAACAGATGTGAAAAAAATAGGGCATTTTTTAGAGAATGCAAATACCTACTCATGCACTCATGATAGACCCTTTTGGCAATGGAAGTAGAAATAAACATCCTCAAATGAAAATAAACATCTGCACAATACCTATAACTTACAATATAGGTAATGTTGAAATACTGGATACTTGTGCATAAGATCAAGAACAATCGAAAGACGTTGGTCGACCCTTACCACTTTTATTTAACATTGTACTGGTAGTCTTAGAAAGTTCAGTTCAATAAGGCAGAAAATAAAAATAAATGGAAAAAAATGTTGGAAAGGAAGAATGAAAAGTATTTTATTTGCAAATGATCTGACTATATACTGTAGAAAACCCTAAGAAATCTACTGAAAAATTACCAAGTGAATTTATCAGAATTGTAGGATAAAAGGCAGTATTTGAAAACCAAATATGTATCTATATGCAGAAACAATTAGAAAATTAAAATGCCATGAAGCTAATTAAATTATAATAGGAACACTAAAAATGAATTTGATCCCTCTCAGAATAGTTTACTAGATTTTCAACTTAGAGGAAATCGATATAAATGCACATCCACAACAATATTAATAGGAGGCATTAACATTTAAGAGCTTCTAATGTGCTAAGTGTGTATTATATATGGATTATCTCAGGGTTACCTGAGAAATTATAACCCACCTTTTACTAGGAAACTGAGGCTTACAAAGATGAAGTAACTGAACCATTAAAGTTACAAACAATAATCAGGGGACAACTGGTAATAAAGCTTTTGTGACTCCAAAATCCGTGTTCCCAGCACTACACATAAAACTTATTTGAGTATCTTCCTAAAAGCTGAAAGTACTTTTTCAACAATTTTGTGGAATGGCTTAGATCTGTTATGTTCAAAGTTGACTGTTACATTGGTACTGGGTTAACTGGTTAACCACATGCAAAATGAATCTAGACCCATATCTCCCACCCTATACTAAAATCACATCAAAGACCTAGAAATTAAAACAGAAACACTAAATCTGCTGGAAAATAAAATAGGTAAAATTCTTGAAGAAATAGACATAAGCAAGGACTTTCTGAAGAGAACTCCAATCGCACAAGAAATAACACCAATAATCAACAAGTGAGAGCACACCAAATAAAAAAGCTTCCGAAAAGTATCAATTAAAAAAAAAAACAAGAGTGAAGAGACAAGCTACAGAATGGGAAACAAATTTACCAGCTACTCTACAAATGACTGATATTTAAAATACATGAAGAATTTAAAAAATATTAGAAACTCCCCCAAAGACACAATCCTAAAATGGGAAACTGAAATTATATATTTCTCAGAAGAAGTACAAACGGCCAATAAGTACATGAAAAAATGTGCAGAATCTTTGGCCATTACAGAAATGAAGAATGGCTATCAACATGAACTTAAAAAAAAATGCTGGCAAGGTTGCAGGTGGGAAAAAGAACCTTTTTACATTTTTTTGTGGGAATGTAAACTAGTACAAACACTGTGGAAATCAGTATGGACATTCCTCAAAAAACTAAAAATAGAAATTCCACATGATCCAGCTATTTCCCTTATGGGTATCTTCTTGAAAAAGTTAAAGGTATCACATTAGAGTAATAAATTCAAACTCATGTTTATAGCAGGACAACTAAATAATTGCTAAATCCTGGAAGAGGCCTGTATGTCCATCAACAGATGAGTGCATAAAGAAAATGTGTCACTTATACACAATGGAGTACTATTCTACTGCAAAGGATAAATTTGAGTCATTTTTAGGAAAACAGACCCACCTTGAGACCACCACGCTAAGTAAAATAGACACAGAAGGTTAAATACCACATGGTTTCTCTTATATGAGAAACTCAAAGTATACATAATTTAAATAGCAAAATAAGACTGATGATAGGAAACAGGGAGGCAGACGTTTTGGAGATGGAAAGAGGGTTTAGAGATGGAGAAAAAAAGAGATAGAGGAGAGGAAAGTATAAAGGATTAAGATGTAATACATAAATGTACCAACTCCCCACAATGAATGTTTTCATTATGTATTGCAAACATGTACTAATAACATTATTTAGAATTAAATAAATAAATGTGGAAAATTTAAGATATACATCATTTTAATGCCTTTTCATACATTCTCTGAATAGAAGTATTTTAAAAAATGAACTAACCTCACTTTCCAGAAAGAAAAATACCAATGTCTTAACAAGGTTGGCATTTGGACCTTGTCTTCCCCTCCTTTTCATTATTCCATCCTCCTCTGGATCTCTACGACTGAAGAGTCTATATACAAAGGAAAATATTTATTTTAAAACAATAAAAAATTCATTAAATAAAATATTAACTGTCAGGATTTCATATATCTAAAAATGGAGAAGTAGGAAACTAAGGTACATTGTTGTCCAATATTAAACCATCAAGCAAATAATCACAATGAACCTTTTTATTCTAGTCTTGATAATACTTTCAAGTCTTCTTAAAATGCCTTAATTATATTAAGTTACAAAGTATTTCTTTTTAGAACCGTTACGGTACTTTACATAAATGTTTACATTGATTAACCTGTAACATTTATGCATAAAAATCTATGATATATGTTTCTCTTTAAACTTGAAATTATCTTTATCTTTTTCTTTCTATTTTTTTTTTTTTTTTTTTTTTTTTTTTTTGGTACCGGGGATCGAACTTAGGACCTTCCGCTTGCGAGGCAGGCAGCAGAAACACTGGGCTAAATCCCCAGCCCTTTCTTCTATTCTTCTTGCAACATTATCCTAACTCAACAGGCTTTTTCTATGAATAGTGTGAACAATTTTTCCTCAGATACAGCAAAAGAGAACTAAAATTCTATAATTATTAATAGAAAGTTGTAAGGTGGATGTTTAATACCCACTATTTTTTATAATGAATGCTGCATGCCAAATAGGCATATTAATAAATCTTACTAAAATAATTAGTGTAGTCAGCTTGGTTCAAAATATTCTCTTAAGTCACAGTCTAACATCTGCTAAATGTTTTCTGTGATCAGATATTCATACTACTGTCCATACTTCCTAATCTGAATTGGTAAATAGTTTCATTAAAGAGACCAGGGGCATGGCGGCAGGTGCCTGTAATCCCAGCACTGGGGAGGCTAAGGCAGGAGGATCATTCGAGTTCAAGACCAGCCAGTAAGTTTAAGGCCAGCCTGAACTACACTACACAATGAGACCCTGTCTCAAAAATAAACACATAAATAAATAAATAAATAAATAAATAGACCACAGGATTCTTACATCAAAGTATTAAGTACTTGAATCAGAGCCTTTAATATTTTCTCAAACAAATAAAAAATAAGCTTAAGGCTAAATACTGTAATATATGGAAGTTGAAGTAGGAGAAGAGTCAAAATAGGAAGAGATCAGTCTTCATATTATAACACAGTTAGATAAATTTAAAGTACGTTCACTAAGGCCTAGGGGTATAGCTCAGTATTACATTACTTGGCTAGCATGCATAAAGCCAAGTTCAATCTCCAAAAAGAAAAAAAAAGTCATGAGTACATTTCTCCCTTTAAAGATCTAACATAAGAAAAAAATTTGAAGGGAGAAATCTAAACTATTAAAGGAAATAGTAAAGTGTGAGAGCTTCAATTTAACTTGCAATAATTTTTCTAAATATATTTAATATACATATATATGCACTTATTATCAAGTATATCACAATAAATTGTTATGAAAGTATACTTTAGAAAATGAATAACACAAATATAAATTTACTTTTTATAGAGAAATTCTCCAGCTGCTACTGCTACTGGTCGATGAGCTGAATAAACCAGATGATAGACATTTTCACAATCTTCTGCAGTAAGAACTTCTTCACTACTCCTAAAAAGAAATAACAGAGTTTTTAGTAAATATAATTCTAAGCATAATAAGAATATAAAAATTGATGTTGTATTTCACAAATGTGTTAAATAAAAATAATTCAAAACACATTTGATTATCATCTTTTGGTAAAAGCTGCCCCAACAAAAAAAATTGGGTATTTTATTAATATCAAAGAAAAATGTGAGGGCCTGAGTTGTCGCTCTAGCCATAGAGCACTTGCCTAGAATGCACAAAGCCCTGGGTTCAATCCCAAGTATGTTAAAATAGATAAATGTGATGTAAAATTAACAGTGAATATAGGATGTGAATAGGTAAACGCTTATTTATATAAGAATGTGACATGGATGCTACAGAAAAATGAATAAAAAATAATGCAAACTAATAGAGAAAATAAAGTGGTGCCATGCAAAGTACCGAGTTAATAATCACAGATAACACTGAATATATTTTATAGTAATAATTAGGAAAGGCAATGTAACTACATTACAATGTACTAAAATACCTTACTTATCTCACACTGAGAAAGAATACTTCATCCATCATGTACTGAACAACATATAAGGCAATACAAGCAGATATTCCAAGTAGTTAAAATTTAAGTGTCAAAGGTTATTAATTGTAATCTATCATTAGAAAGTCTTACGTGTAGTGTTAATTTTCCGGATCTTATTTTTAAAGAACAAAACAGGCCTTAAAAAATCTTGATAATTTGGTATTAGAAGCCCATCAACCACAGGATCCCTGGGTAAATGTTTTTAAGTTCCTGAGACTACATTCAGGATCTTAGCTACTGGCAGCTTCTTCCTTCCTAATAGATTTTCAATAGAGACTTTGAATAGAGACTTTATCTCTAGTATGAGATAAATAATCTAAGTTTTTACTATTATATGTAAATTTAAAATGACAGGACCACCACCAGAGAGAAGTCTAAAAACATTAGATAGAAGAGACATTTTTACATTTTGTTCTCCTAATATACTAAAGGCTTCAAAAAGTTGGATTTCTAAAAACTTCTTGAAAAAACTCTCATATACTTCAAACTGAAGTATTATTAAAATTATTCTATAATACTGGACTGTTATGAGGGAAAAAAACACCAGGTAAAGTAAATCTGCAGTAGTCAACATTTCTAACAAGTTTCACTAATTAGGTATGTACAGGGATGAAAAATCAACATAAATAAACTATGTCTATTGCCTCTAATAAAATAAGAAACAAGGAAAGATATCCATAGTATATTAGGTAGAAGGGGAAGAAGCTACAGAAACATGTAGAGTACTAACAGTTTCTTGTTTCTTTCAGGAGTCTTTCAATATATTTATAACATGTGTATACTACTTAAGACTTTTAAATCTAATTAAAAATTAAGGAAAAATAGTTAAGGCTGCTTTAAAAAAATGAATTCTGAGAAATTGTTAATGCCCATCAAAGTTCATTCCTTGTAATTACTGCAATGTGGTCCATTTAATATAAATGAGAACCACTGTTTTACAGGGCTGCTGTATTAAATAAAATCCACATAAAGTGCTTATATTAGTTAGCTATTATCACACATACTAATTCTTTCTCTTTTAATAAATACTGGTTTATTAGAGAATGTAGACATTTTAAATTTTGATAAACAGAGCCTAATATTTCTTAAATGAATTTAAACCAATTTATCCTCCCTTCGACAATGTGTAAGGGCCTGTTGCTGCACAGCTTTAACAACACAGTGTACTACCAAATGTTTTTTATCTTCCCCAAGCAAATAAGTTTTATAAAAGTCTTATTTAATGCACACATCTCTAAGAATGGTTGAACATTTTTTCATATGTTTAAATTTATTATTTTCAGTTAATGATCTGATCCATGTTTGACTCTATTGAATTTCTGTTCTTTTAATTGATTTGGAGAAATTGACACCTTTCATACAAATATTTCACTCAATCTAACATTTGTTTTCTGAGTATATTCATAGTATTTTATGCCATCTAGATATTCTGAGTTTTTATGAAGTTAATTCATTGCTTTTTATATCTAGGTTTTATGTCAAACTCAGAAAAACTTGCACATAATTTTACAACAAATAAAACTGTTAAATCTTCCTATGTTTTCACCTAGAAATTATTTTTGAATAAGGAACAAAATAGGAATCCAGTATTACCCTCCCAAATAAAACCCAGTTGTCACAAAAACACATATTGACTATTTATTACGAAAATGCCACCCTTATCCTATACTAGAACCCTAGATCTATGTACATTTGTATTTTTATTTTGTTCTTATGATCTATTTATGCAACGGCACCAAAATTTTTAAATCACTTTGATTTTATAATACAACTTAAAATCACATTGGATTAGTATTAACTCACTTGTTTTTATCAGAATTTTTCTTTTGGTGGGGATGGACATACTGTCAATTAAATCCAGGGCCTTCACAATGAACTACCATATACAGTAACCCCAGCTCTTTATTTTGAGACAAGATCTCTGTCTCCAAGTCACTAAGTTGCCCGGGCAGAGCTTAAACTTGTGTTCTTCCTGCCTCAATATCCTGAAAAGCTAGAATTACAGACATGAGCTAACATGCCAAACAATGCCTACTCTTAATCGATGAATGTTCCATATGAATGTGAGGATTCATTTAGAATGGTTTTTTTTAAAGATGCTTTTACAATTATGTACGTTATCTTAAATATACAGACTTAGGAACATTTTAATTTTTATGTCCCTAGTTGTATTTCATTGACTTTGCCTTGTTCTCTCAAATAGCTGGTACTCCTGGTATGCTTCACATTGGATTAACTTACTACATCTCTGAGCAATTTCTTGTTTATTTCTAGTTATAAAATGGTTGTATCAGTTTGACCTAAAGAGGCTGATTTTTTAAGTTTCAACCCAAGAACTGGCAGGAGCTAACACTGGTTGGTTGGTTGGTTGGTTGATTTATGCATTCATGCAGTGCTGGGAATGGAACCCAAAGGGCATGCTACTGAACTAAATAAATACCTAGTCCTTTTTATTTTTTGAGACAGTCTCACTAATTTGTTCAGGCTGACCTGTAATTTGCGATCCTCCTGCCGCACCCTCCTACATAGCTGAGATTAAATGTGTGACCCACCATACCTAGCATTAAACATTTTACTTAAAAAAAAACAGAAAACAACAATTGGTGGTAAGGATGTGGAGACACTAGGAATATAAAATGGCACAACCACTGTAGAAAACAGTATGGCATCTCCTCAAAAAGGAAAAAAAACAACTGGGCTGGAGATGTAGCTCAGTGGTAAACACGTGTGAGGCCCTGGGTTCAATTTCTAGCACTACAAAAAAATTAAACATAGCATATACAGTATACAATTTCATTTCTAGGTACACAAAAAGAAGTAAAAGTAGGTTCTCAGATTCCTGCAAACCTATAGTCATAATCATAACATTCATATGAGCCAAAAATTGGAAAGAGCCTAAAGATCTGTCAACAATAAATGGGTAGGACCAAGAATTTAGCTCAGTGGTGCTGCGCCTGCTTCACAAGCACAAGATCCTGAGTTCGATCCCTAGCACGGAAGGGGGGAAAAAAAGAATGGATAAGCAAAACATGATATATACATACAACAAAATATTATTCAGCCATAAAAAGCAAAAACTTCTGACATATACTATAATAAAGATCAAGCTTTAACACATTACACTTAGTGAAATAAGTCACACAAAAGGATAAAAATTGTTGAGTCCACTTATATGAAATATTCAAAAAACGCAAATTCACAGACAAAGTAGAAAAGTGGTTATGAGAGTGTGAGGAAAGGAAATGAATGAGGAGTTGATATAGCAAGTACTGGAATGATGAAAAAGTTTTAGAGATTAATAGTGGTTAACCACTGTGTGATAAAGTATTTAACACCACAAAACCTTACATTTAAAAATGGGCACAATGTAAGTTTTACATCATATATATTTTACTGTAATTTTTAAAAGGCAAAATATCATAACATCACTATTACATATCAATATAGTATATGTCTTAAGTTCAGACTGTTTACAGGTAACAAAAGAAAAACAGAAGATTCAGTAAATGCTCATACTCTGAAAATGTGACAGAATATAATAATAATTCTGATACACTCAAATGTTTATTTCAAGAACATCAGAAACAGTTAATAAGAAGAAAAAGTGTCAAGAAAGCAGGAACACATGAATTCCCAGCTCAGTTAGAATTTCACAGCTTTAATGATTCCTTCTTCCTGTGGTTTATCAATGCTACCTGAAGAAATTAAATTTCTGAGAGCAGTGGTATGCACTTGTAGCCCCATGTGCTCTGGAGGTCAAGGCAGGAGAATTGCCTAAGCCCAAGAGTTCAAGACCAGCCTGGGCAACAATTGAGGCCCCACCTCAAATAAATTAATAAATTAAACATGTAGCAGTACAACCTCATATTAAAAATTAGGCCCAGATGAATCTGAACCAAATACTCTAATGTATTACTTAAGTATCTGTACATTAGTAATATACAACAAATACATACTTACTGTAAAACAAGAGTGAGTAATTTTATTGCTTGTACTGCAACATCATATTCTTTGTCAAGGGTCATAGACACAATTCTATCCTAAGAACAAAAACATTATAATTGTTTTAAAAGGAAAATAAGAAAATATTTCAATTTGTAGATAATTTTAAAATACTTAACACAAACCTTGAACCGACTGGTAAATAGCTCCAGTTTGGAATTAAGCTCTTTGTTATAATAAAGCCCTTGTAGAGCAGTAAGACACTTCAGTCTTACCTCACCTTGCTAAAAGAAACAAGAAGAGACAATGCATTCAAACTCTGTATTTCCAACCTGAATAGTCAAGATGCATATAGTATTTTCTGCTTTAAAATTTTAAACATTTAAACAATAGCATTTCTTCAGAAACTGTCACTTTTTGATAATGTAAAAGAAAAATCAATATTATGTTTAAGTGGGGCCGGGAATTTAGCTCAGTGGTTTCGCTGCCTGCTGCGCAAGTGCAAGGACCCAAGTTCGATCCCCGATACCAAAAAAAGTAAAAAATAAAAAAAAATATTATGTTTAAGATTAAATACTTACAGGGTTACTACTTCTGTAGGTCAAATAAATTTTTGAAATATGTTAGCATATTTCACATTAAGTAATGCTTGGAAGACATATATAAAAAGAACCTCAAGGTTAATGAAGAGGCAGTTTAAGATTACAAGGTCATAGGCCACGTTGTAAGGTATGATCTAAGATACACATTTATCGAGAGGGGCTGGAAATGTACCTCAATGTTACAGCACTGGCCTAGTATAAAGGAGGCCCTGAGTTCTACTCCCAGTATCACAAGAAAAAAAAATTGGGGAATTTTTTTTAAGAATATGTAACACTCGGATAATAAGACAGTAAGGGCTCTTTTTAGTGCTCTACAGAATGTCTCACCATCACTATCTACATGAACCTAATGTTTCAACACAGAATCCAAAAAAACTAGAGAACTTTATGTACCAGAGACCAAGTTTTCACACAGCAGATTAAAAAAGAATAAGGAAGAAACTTACAGGGATGTGGTCCAAGGTATACAAACAAGCTGGTAACTCTTTATGAATGAGAACTGCAGATAGCCATGCCTATATGTAGATAGATAACCAGTTGGTAGGGCACACCTTACCTTATCATGCATAGTCCAACCAACATATTTTAAATAACTGTCATTAAGAAAGGCATCACTATACATTTTCATCCAAATGCCAATCTCCTCGATGCATATAGCTCGGATTTCAGCTATTGCATCCCTACACAGAGAAAAGAAAAATCATACGCATCAATGCCATTATACCATAAACTTATGGTTAACTCAAAAGATGCCAAATATTTCGTATCTACTATAAATACATGACCACTCTTAAGATTACTGGGGATTGGGCCAGGGATTTAGCTCAGTGATTCCGCCACCTGCCTCACAAGTGCAAGGTCCTGAGTTCAATCCCTGGTACCAAAAAAAAAAAAAAAATAGATTACTGGGGATTAAAAAGAAGCTCTGAAACATGGCTCCAAATGCCAACAGCTTACAGTCTAGTTGGCAAAGCAAAATTACCAATACACAAACATTTGAATTAAATAAAACCATAAACAAAATCCTACCCTCACCTTTTATACCAGACCATATCCCTACCTTTGCTCACACCTGCTGGGATTGACATTTTCAGAAGATACTAGTCCACTACACTGTAATTGTCCAGGCAAGAATTACTTATACCTAACACTGATACCAAGCTCAATTGAGATTTTAATGTCAGACAAAATTATTTTAGCCTGTTATCTTTTTAAAGACTTCTCAATATGTTGCCTAGGTTGGTCTCAATGTCTTGACTCAAGTATCCTCCTGCCTCAGGATCTAGAGGAGCTAAAACTACAGGAACATGTCACTGTGTCTGACTCAAACTAATGATTTTAATTCATCCTGTAGGTACTGGTGAATCACTGAAGGCCGAAGATCAGCACAATAAAACGATGTTTTAGGAAAACTCCTGTAATCTCTAAACACAAGTGTGATAAGGAAACAGACTAAGGTAATTCTAAAAACAGAAATGAATAGCTAAGAGTGAAAATAGGGACCTTATAAGCCAAGTATTAAACTGATTCAGCAACTGCCAAGTTGGCAAAATGAGGGGAAAATTGAATAAAATATTAATATTTAATAGATTACAGTCAGAAATTATCTATTTCTTTCCTCTGGTCACTCAAAATAGAAAAAGAAATACGTATCACTTTAATCTATCCAAATTTTCCCAATGATATCAAATGGAGAGAAAAAAAACAGGGGTCAAGAAGTATAGCTGCTACCCAAAAAGGACACCCAAATACAATGAAGTATTTCACACCATGACTCCTAATAATTAGCAATATCTTCCAATGGCTGTGAAGCTACAAATAAAACACAGCTTTACCCCATTGTTCTGATAGAAAATATGAAGTTCACAGCAGTTAAATGACTTGACCAGAGTGACTCAATGGCATAGCTTAGATTCTAACACTGATCTTACTTTACTACACATTCTTTCCACTAATTTATACTGCCTAAATCACTAAATATCCAAACTTGAAGAATAAAAGCTACATAGTACTATTCATGAAATGTGTCATGACTTACCTGTATCTATGTACAAACACTCCTTTAAATATTGCATTCATCATATTTTCTATTTCATCTTGATTTTCCTGAAGCTACAAAGAATAAACATGTAAAAGAAAAACAATTATAGGGCAAGACAAAATACACCTAAAAATTGTTATAAGTATCAAAAAATTTTAGGTTTCTTCTCCAGTATTTTGATGATCACATTTAGCTTTTCTTCTACTAGACATAAGGAACCACATAGAAAACTTAAACATTCTATATGAAGAAGTTAAAGTCCCTTGATTCCAGAAATATTTGACTTGGATTCTAATGTTTGACTGTAGAAATTTGGCTGATAGACTAATGCTTTATCTGATGTTCACAAATTTCTACTGCATAAAGGAGCTGGTAGAAAAATCTGTTATGCAGTTTATTAGATCATATCATTTATTATATAATATATCCATGTCAGAAAAGCACGATTTTTCATTATTTTGATCTTGGCAGTCTGAAAAAGAGAAGCCATGTCAACTAGCTCTGCCTCTAAGAACAAAAGGGACTACATAAAAAAATAACCACATAAAAATCTGTATTACTAATAAATTCTTTTGAGCAAAGAGACTGACTTGAAATATGTAAATATTTCAAATTTTGGTCAGCATATCAATTCACGTATTTTCGTTTAAGAGTTGATAAAAGGTTGATTCTTTACAATCAAAGGATAAATTTGCTTTGACATTGTTTTAGTAAAATGTATATTTTTTTTCTCTGCATGAATGTGACTTTTATTTTCAAGTAATACTAACATGGATATGTACTTTTTTGATTTTTTAGACCTAGGGAGCACCAAGCTACAACCTCAACCCTATTTATATTTATATTTTGAGAGGATCTCACTTAAGTTGACCAGGCTGGCCTGGAACTTGCAATCCTCCTCCCTCAGACTCCCAAGTAGCTGGGATTACTGACTTGTGCCACCCTGCCTGGCTTGGTTCTGTGCTTCTTATATTCATTAAGCACAGCCAGCAATTCAGCAAAGACAACAAGAAAAATTTTAGTTTAATTTCAAAGCCCTTTAATGTTATTCACTCATTCTATGTTAACAATCATATATTTCTGTCTGAGAATAAGGCCATAATTTCAAGGGCTAACACATGCTTTATATTCATCTAATAAGCCAACCTATAACATTTATTAAGTAAATTAAGGGAAAAAAGTATGTTTTATTTATTTTTTTTTTTTGGTGCTGTGGATTGAACTCAGGAACTTGTGCTTGCAAGGCAGGCGGCAGCACCGCTGAGCTAAATCCCCAGCCCAGTTCTAAATTTTTAATGATATGAAAAAGATGAGGAATTTCAAAGTTATTGAATATTTCAGAAACAACCAACTTAACATTGTCTTTCCTATCACCCCCTCCCAAAAAGTTTCAAGACCAAATAATTTATAGGTTACCATAACAACTATTTAAAGGACTGCATCACTAATTTTAAAGACATCACTTTCTCTATAAAAAATAAAAATAAACATCTCCATTATGTGATAGAAAATTATTACAACAAGAATGAAGGAAGAATTGAAATTTCAAAGACAGCATCAAATATTTTAGTCGCTATTATTCAGTGTTGGGCTAAAAAATATTTTCCTCGCTCCATTCTGAATGTAGTAAATAAAGTTAACAAAATGCTTCCTGGTGTACAAAAATACCCAGATGCTAATAAATAGCTTACAAGTTATTTCTCAAAGTATTTCACATAATTATGGACCTCAGCCTGACAACAAGCTAGTTAGAATAAAACTGTTAGGAAAATAACTTAGCAGAGAGACTGTCATAGTAAACAGGAATATTACTAAAGCTCATGCAATTTTCCAGACTGACCGAGGTCTCCCTTCCTAAAGTGCAATACTCTTGGGCCGGGGATTTAGCTCAGTGGTAGCACCGCCTGCCTCGCAAGCGCAAGGTCCCGAGTTTGATCCCCGGTACCAAAAAAAAAGGACAATACTCTTAATATTAGTCCATACAAGATGAAAAATATGCAAGGTATTGCTGGCATGGACAGTCAAAACTTTAAGTCAGAAGCATAAACTATGTGAAATATACAGTTTAAAATTAAATCTTTCACGGAGCTGGGGTATTGTAGCTGAGTGGTAAAGCATATGCTTAGCATATACACGGCCCTACATTCAATCTCAACCACTTCTCTCCAAATTAAATCTTTAAAAAATTATCTGTAGGGCCAAGAAGTTGTAATATAATTAATAGCAGCCAAGTTGGTTACTCATTAATAGCCTAAACGTTTGATACAAAAATTTACCTCTTTCCGCTTTTGTAGCAAGAGTTCTAGTCTCTCATTGGCTCGCTTTCCAATCATTTTATTCCGCTCTGCCTCATATTGTCTTTGTGTATTATCCATATTAATGCTAAGATTTAGTGCCACATTCACCAAAGCTGTCATCAACTTCATAGCTATTTTTAAAAGTGTAAAATGTTGTAATTAGTCCAACAGATGCAAAAATTTACAATTTCAGATCAAATTAAGAGAAATTAAGAAGAGATGGCCTGGTGAGCTTCAAATAAAAATACAGCTGGTACAAATGACAACAACAATAAAGCAACAGCTAATATTATATAGAATACTTAGCATATATGTTAGTATGTTGCCCGTGCTATTTATTTTTCATGGATTATATCTTAATCCTCAGGACAGGCCTCAAAGACAAGAGCTGAGGAAACAAACTGAGGGAGATTAAGAAATTTGCCACAGATTACACAGTTTATATAAGTAATTAAACTAGGATTCAAAATGTTCAGGATCATTGGTCATTTGAGAGATGCAAATTAAAACAATGCTAAGATTCCATCTCATACCAGAAAGAATGGCTGCTATCATGAAATCAACCAATAAATGCTGGGGAGCTGTGGGAAAAAAAGGAACCCTTCTCTACTGCTGATGAGAGTATAAACTGGTGCAACTACCGTGGAAATCATTGTGGAGATTCCTCAAAAAACTAAAACTAGAGGTTCCATTTGATCCAGGTATTCACCTTTTTGGCATCTTCCCAAAAGAATTAAAAGTATCATACCACAGCGATACATGCACATGTTTATAGCACGCAATTTGTAGTAGCAAAATCTTGGAAACAGCCCAAATGCCCATCAAGAGATGAACAGATAAAGAAGATATGGTTTTTTATACAATGGAGTACTACTCTGCCATAAAGAAGGATAAACTTAAGATATTTCTAGGTAAATGGATGTATCTGGAGACCATACTCTAAGCTGAAATAAATCAGACACACATGCGCAAATATCGTATTTTTTCTCTGGTGTGAGAAACCAAAAGGGTAAATAAGATCCAAAATGTATGATAGATAATGAGAGGTGGAAAGCAAATGTGTAAATGGGAAGGGGAACAAGGGAGGGACGAGGAGGAAAGGAAGGAAGGGAAAAGAAACAGAAGGAAAAAATGGAAATAAAGCTTTGTAAATAAGGAGGGGAAGAGGAATTGAAGGGAGGGGAGGGAACTGGCGAAAAAAGAAGAATCAAGATATATCATGTACAGGTACAAATTCCCTATGATGAATGTGATCATTATGTATATCTAAAATGTATCAGTAAAATTTAAAAAAAATAGGGGCCGGGGATTTAGCTCAGTGGTTCCGGCACCTGCCTTGCAAGCACAAGGTCCCAAGTTCGATCCCTAGTACCAAAATAAATAAATAAATAAATAAACCACCTCAAATTTAAAAAAACAGGATTCAAAACAACATAATCTGATATCAGACTAAGCTTAAATCCCACTGTTCTGTATTATATATCCTACAATGATCTTTTTCAGAGATTATGATTCACCTAAGTAAATTTCAGTTCATGTGGAAGTCATTTAGCTATCTCAGTAATCAAACCAAATTTGACTGCTTTATATCAAATTTCACTGAATGTGACCTTATACAAGGCAAGAATACATTCATATTTTGTGACTCCAAATCTAAAAACAGAACACGGGAGAAAACTTTTATTTTTTTGAAAACTGAAATACTTAAAGAGATGTATCTTTAATAAAAGCTTCAATTCTTTGAGAAAATGTTTTAAAGAAAAAAAAGACCCAACAGAGAAAAATTTAAGACAGAAATCTAAATTATTACTAAGGCATAGAATTTTTTAAAAGCAAAAGCCCAACTTGTTTATTCAAATTCAAGTCAAGGAGCACATATTCAACAACAGTATATAAGTAATTTTACCTGTACCACAATGGAAAAGCAAAAGTTTTATACATGTGAAACCAAAATTGACTGTTCTAGAATTATCCGTATGAAGTGTAAAACTCTTTTCACTAAAATTTAAAGATCAAAGAATTTGACCCGGCCTAAAGTTACCCAGAACATGAAAGCCTGAATGAAGCCGTGTGTGT